AAGTGGTGTGGTTCACAATCTCTAATATAAAAACATTTCTTTAATAAGTTATTGCTAAGAGTTGAATGCAGGTATCATCCTCCTGTATATCACCGTCCACTTTACCTGTGGGGAACAAGTCGCTCAACAATGTTGTCAACAGCAATATTTGAAGCAGCACAAGAAAGAATCTTTGAGCCACGCTTCACTTCTTGTAAGATAATTTCCACTACTGTAGTAGTTTTCCCAGTACCAGGAGGACCATGCAGCAAAAATACATCCTTTGATGACAGGGCTTTCGAAATGGCATCTTTCTTGAAGAAAAAAGCACAAAAAACTGAATTAAGTTAATATGTCAACAGAAATAGACAGTGCCTTCCTTTCTAAAATGGAGAACTGATCCCCACCAAAAGAAAAGGAAAGAGAAAAAAAAAAAAAATGGAAGAAGAAAGAAAGGAAGAGGAAAACGGTATAAGTTAATGAACCATTTATTGACCGAAAAGCATAAGCATTAGGAAAGCATAGAATTACACACCTGAGAGTGATCAAGGTTAGAGTTAAAAGGGGTGAATGTAACATCCTTCTTTGAAAATGTTGGTGGTCTCTCTCCAAACAAGACAGGAACTAGATCTGCAGCAGGCCCCTTCAGTACACCTTTACTCAATTGTATTAAGGCATCCTTCATCCTACGATATGTCACCTGCACAGAAATTAATTTGAATTATTTTTCTTATAAGCTTAATCTCTAAGAAAGTATGGTGCTGAGCCTTCTATACTAGTTCTATGACTCTGATCTGCTTCAGGCTTTTAAAGATGGGACAGCATGAATTAAAGTTTGACTTCTATATGATTCCCAAGGTTAACACTTAAAAATTTTCAGATAGAATAAAGAACTGAAAAGTCATTCTGTGATACAATAAGCAGAATTCAAGTTCACTTAAACACAAACAAGGCAAGGGAATTCTTGTCTATATTACACACGAGTAAAGCCAGTGTAAAGCAAAGAATTGATTGAAGAATCTTAGTTGCATACCTCATTGGCCAATTTTTCTAGACGTAAGGGACTACTCAAACCTTCTTCTGGGATGTCATCAAAAGCAACAGTAATTGAGGAATCCTGCTCGATATGCACATGAAATCAGCAGCACAAGAGTTACAGAGAATTACAGGTAACTAGAAACAACAAACTCAACAATGTAATAACCCAAAGTTTCCTTTAAGAATTAAGAGTCCCAATCACCTTTAGCCGGAAAACTACACCTTGCCCAAGTGCAGGAGATCCTGAATCAGCTTTGTTCAGTTTTAATACAACTACATCATGGGTGCCAAACTGCATTGCAAAATTAATAAACATTTAGAACTCCAAAATCTCATTCAATACTGGAAAAGGGAAAGAAACAAGACAATATAAAAGACAAGTCCCATCATTTTCCTTGAATGGAGCAATTATTGTGAACTTTCAATAGTGATAGGCCAGGAGATATTTGATGAATGCTTCTCATTAATTGAAAAAGAATAAAACAGAAAACTAAGATTGACGTATGAAACTACAGGCTGAAGGTAGGGTCTACATTCAGTTACACTTTGTATTAGAAATTTAAAATAACAATTAGCCCAAAGCAATTACAATTCTTTTTATTTCTTCCTAAAACTAAAATAATCACTTAATATATTTTACTTTTCCAGAATAATACTATTAAAACATTTTCACTCAAATCCATTTTTCATTCAACTTAATTCACTTGATGAACTACACTAAAAATCATAATGGCTTGAAAATTGCAAAACTAAAAACCATTCTTATGTGTTTAGAATTTGGAGATGTAAGGAATAGAATCAGCTAACAGTGCATAAAATAAGAAAAATACAAATATTGCACCAGAAACCATCTTGCCACTATGCCTCCTCACCTTGTGAGCAGGAAGGACATCTCCTTTGGTGGATTGAAACTCAAGCAGTGTTTTCCCCATCAACCCTGTCTACTTTGAAAACCAAACACAAAACAAATTATAAGATAATTGAGTGATTCAATGTTCCCTTTTGGTAGCAAACATGATTTTTTTTTTTAAAAAAAAAGAGGAGTTTACCATAACTAATATATGAAATCATGCTTATTTGAGCTGAATAAATAAATAATCATGCAGACAATTTTTTCCTTTCAAAAGCATGCATAATTCGTATAATATACAACCTGAACATCAACACACTTCAAATTGAGAATAGTGGAGCCCCTCTTTTGAGCACTATCCAAGTTTCCTGATGCGCCTGAAGAGATAGAGGCTGATATCTCAGCTTCCTACACAACAAAAACCGAAAAGTTGTGAATAAGCAGTATTGCAGAAAACACTTATGCAGTGGTTTTAAACGATTGTATGCGTCAAGGATGATTAGGCAAGATAATGTGCACCTAGGCATGGTTAGGCACAATTAAACATGCCTAGGCAAGGATTAGGCGCTAGGCTAATCAGGCATTTTAAAGTGAAACTATGTCGCCTATAAAAAGAATCACAAAAA